CATGTGATCTAGTCAAATGGGACCAACATCAATTGTTTTAGCTCCAAAGGCCACGCGTTTGCCTGGATTCGTGAAGGCACAACCCTGCAACACCACCAAATCAAGCAGACGGTAAACCATGGGGACAAGGATCGTTGATGGTGTGGGGATGTGTGACATGTGCAGGGGTGGGGTTCATACGCAAGATTGACGGGCGCATGGAGAGGCCCTTGTATGAGGGCATTTTGTATGACGAACTCGAATTGACCCTCCATTTCTATAGCATTTTCCCCTCTGAGGTCATCTCGGTGCGGACAATAACCCCAAGAATTTGTTATGCCTGGTGCATGAATGACTTGGAGAACATGAGTACGGAGCCTTGGAGTGGCCTTCTTTCTCACCAAACCTCAACCTCTGGGCTTACCTGAAAAGGGAGCTAGCCAAGTAGAAAGGGCCTTCCTCTGGAATGCTAGAGCTTTAAGAGTTGGTTCAGGAAGAATGAGAGAAGATCCATGCCGAGGTTTGCTCTAGCCTCATCGACAACTCGCCTAGGAGGGTGCGGGCAGTGATCAAGGCCAAAGGTCAGTGGGCTAGGAACTAGAAACACACTTTTGAAGTTTGCTCTCCCTGCTTGGAACTATTTGTCTGGATGTACCCATTGTATATCTTTTGGGATACGAGTTGATCCGATGTACTATTCTGTATATTTGTGTAATGAACGCATCCACTATGTGCCCCTCCCAAAGCGTACCACCATTAAACATAAAGGCTTAATGTATAGTGGTCTTAAAACATAAAAACCCAAATTTATGCAAAACATACGGACAATTGTTTCCGCCACTGTGCTTCAAGAATTATCACAGACTCGAAGTCTCATCAGCCAGGTGAATAATCGAGACAAGAGAAGCTCACAGATTCCGAGTCTTGTCAAGCAGGTTGTATAATCGAGACTCGAAATTCTAATGCTTCAATTACAAAAGCTTCACGGCGAGGAAGATTTCACGAAGGTCCTCTCTCCTTTCGTTCCCTCCCTTGACGCCACGTTTCTAGCACGTCAGCAGCAACAAGAAATCTACTGACTTCTGCTCTGGCGGCCGTCATAATGTGGTGGCTTGGTCAGGTCTGATGACATTCAGGCGGGGGGACTGTGGATCGGGCCTTCGATGATGTTTTACAGGTGTACCAGGCAGAGCTGTGGGCGTTCTTCCTTGCCCTTCTTGAAAGGCAAGGGGAGCTCAGAGGGCGTGTCCAGCGTGCTCTTATCCTATTCAATTGGCGAGACAAGTACAGAATTTAGGTGTAGTAACTCGAAAATCCGTGTCTTTTAGGACCCGCTCGAAAGTGCGCGCTCTTAGCAGACGCTCTCGAAGTGTGCCAGCTGTGTTGTTGCCCACATTTCGAAAGTGGCTGGAAATCGTACTCGAAATGAACTCCCGCCAGAAATGACAAATCTTGGTTGTCGAAAAGTAAATACATGACATCGTCATATTTGGGCAGATTCGTCAATGCCGTGGCAAAAACAACGAGGCCTTGTTATCCAGGCTCGTAATAACGTAACTCCATTTCTTTCGCCAACATCTTTTGTTTTTCGCTGCGCAGAGCATTTTTCCTATCAAAGGCTAGACACAAGGGCGAGGCAGGCATGGGCGGCAGTGTACCTGGGCCGTCTCGTAACCTTTTTTCCAAGCATGTACAGAAGACGTAAAAAGCGCGTGTTTGGGCAAAATGTGTTAGAATACTAGAGTGATGTTAAACAAGGGTGAACAAGGGAAATATAGCGTTGGAGTTGTACTCTCTAAGAACATACACCTATCTAGCCTATAAATTCTACATACTAACATATGTATGAGTTGACCCACCCCCTAGGCTAGACAAGGGGTAGTGCTGAGCAAGAAACACGCAGCCCAGGGTGGCACTACTAGTCCAACCTCTGAAGAAGGGGTCCGAAGACCAGTCAGCAAGAGTACAAACAATACAAGAGCAAACCAGGGAGGCACTTCTAGTCCGGCCACTGGAACAGAAGCCACAAGGACAGTCTGGAAGGTATAAATGTAGAGGAGTACACAATCAAGGACCTAGCAAGTGAGAGTCTACAGGAACTAGACCAAGCTGAAAACAATGCCGCTGATGATCTTTAGGCGCAAGCACCATAGTACAGATATCAGGTGTGTTGGCACCGGAGACCAAGTGTACTACGCGGGCCTGGCGTCGCTGCTGTAGCTCGCGCAGGAGGAAGTACCGCAGCTGGATGTGCTTTGCTCTACCCTCAAATTGAGGCTCCTGACACAGGAGGATCATGGCCCTGTTGTCAGCGTACAGAACCGGGGCAGAGCTAGGCGTCTCTCCTAAGTCGGCAAGTAAGAAGGTCAGCCAGCAGAGCTCCTGTGCCGCCATGGCACCGGCGTAGATCTCAGCCTCACAGCTAGACTAGGCAACAGACGAGGAGCGGGTGGACCTTCACGAGATGGCCCCTGAACCAAGGCTAAAGCAGTAGCCCTGGGAAGACCTGAGGGTCTCAGCGTCGTCTGCCCGAGAAGCGTCAATGGGCCCAGTAAGGACCACTGGCCTGCGTCCTCGCAGCACTAACCCCATGCCCGATGTACTTGCAAGATAAAACAAAACCCTCTTAGCGACTTACCAGTGCTGTGGTCGGTGTCTGCTTGTGGCCACAAAGCGAGCCAGGATGCTGAGAGGGTATGCGAGATCTGGACAAGTGCAAGTTATCAGGTACATAAGGCAATCCACCAGCTCTGCGTAAGGACCACTGGGCTCTACTGACTCTTCAGGAACTGGAGCAGAGAGCTTGTGATCTACTGGCAGATGTGTGGGCTGTGCAGAGGAGAACTGAAGACCGAACCTCTGAAGGACCTGGCGCACCAAGTGTGACTGTCTGAGAGTGATGGTGCGCGCTGCTCTGTCCCTGGAAATTTGCAAGCCAAGGTAGCGGCGCAGCTCTCCTAGGTGAGTGCAAGTGTATCTCCTCAGCAGCTCAACCTTCACAGAGGCCAGTGCGTCTCTGTCTGCAGTAGCGAAGACCAGGTCGTCTACGTAGACAAGGATGTAGAACGAGGTTTAGCCAGCACGAATGAAGAACGAAGGGTTTGCAGAGGACGGAAAGAACTGCAGGTCAGCTAGCGTAGCACGCAGCGTGTCGTGCCACTCATGGGGTGCCTGTTGCAGGTCGTAGACCGGGCGTCGGAGGAGCCATTGGGTCCCAGGAGGAAAGGTACCGGTGAAGCCCTGCGGTCGGCGGAGGTAGACCTTCTTGTGTAGGCTGCTCTGAAGAAAAGCAGTGGAGAAGTCTAGGGAGTGGAGCTTGTAGTCACGCTGTGCTGCTACATATGGCAACGCCCGAAGAGTAGTCATCTTCGGGGTCGGGGCGAAGGTATAAAAGAAGTCCACCCCCTCTCGCTGAGTGAAGCCTCTAGCAACGTAGCGCGCCTTGAACGCAAGGCGGCTGTCCAGGGGGACGCTTCACCTTGAAGAGCCACCGGCCATTGACTACGTTCACCCCAGGTGGAGGAACTGCATCGACGTATGTGCCGGTGGATCTCCAAGATGCCATCTCCTGCTCCATGGCAGCTATCCACTGAGAGGCACAGGGTCCCGAGGCCGCCTCAGCGTAAGTGCGAGGGGTCGGGATGTCAAAGGTGTCTGGGTCACCCTCAGGGACTAGCAGCATGGAGCAGAGATGGGAAGCAGCCTCGGATAGGAAAGCAAGCTCGTACTCCCTGTCCTCTGGGACGTCACTGCCAAGAGCAGGAGCACCCCCGACGGATGGAGGACGGACAGGTTCAGAGACTAGAGCGGTGGTGTAGTCAAGGCGACGGATAGATGCGAAGTCAGCGACAAGAGCGTCAAGACTCGAAAGAGGAACAGACGGGTCGGTAATGAGGGAGGCAAGGACTCGAGGAACAAGAGGATGAGCATCACGAAGGTAGTTAGACAGAGGGGGGGGCGCGACAGCGAGCGAAGACGGATGAGGCGAAGGCAGGAGGGGAGGACGAGACGCGTGGGAACGAAGCAACGTAGGATGAGAACGCTGAACAGGAGAGACAGGATGAGCACGAGAGGGACGGCATGACCAGACGTGAGACAGAGGTATCTGGTCAAGAGACAGAGGAGGAGACACAAGAGGGGAACGAGAGGGGCCGGCTAGGAGCGAGGGGCCAGCTAGGCGCGAGGGGCCTGGGCGCGGGGCGGAAGCGGGTTGGGGGGACCTAACCTATTCATGATACCATGTTAGAATACTAGAAGGATGTTAAACAAGGGTGAACAAGGGAAATATATGGTTGGAGTTGTTCTCTCTATGAACACTCACCTATCTAGCCTATAAGTTATATATACTGACTTATGTATAAGTTGACAAAATGAATGCGCTGGACACGCCCTGAGCGAAATCGTGTGTCGAAAATTTCGCATTCGGTTGAAGGTCTTCGCCTGTTTCTCACAATCGCAACTGCAACTGCGTGTGTATTGCGTGTTCTGCAAGCATCGCCAAGCACGATTCCCTTCGTTGCCCCGCCGGTTCCGTGATCGGTTCGTCAGGATCCAGGTCGGCTACTAGGCCCATTCGCCAAGCCGGGGTGATGTGAGGGTAACCTCCTTCGCTAAGTGCCCTCGCCCACGCTAACCCGCTAGAGCAATATGGTCAGCAACGTTTGTTGCAATATGAAAGAGCATTTACCATTCCGTAACAGGTTTCATGGAAAGAAGTTGCGTGTTCCAGCCGTAACATCCTTCACAGATTTTCGCTGATGTGGTTTGGAGATTCCAACCACCGATTTGTGAGAAACCAGCCGAAAGCGACTCTGCAATCTAGCCCGTGTATTGTTTCCGTCTTACACGCTGTACCGTCGATAAAGACGATCTCTACTCCATGCACCTACCAATCAACAGGCCCTGGCCCAGCCCCAGTGGTGTTTTCTTTGTTTACCCCTTTCCCCTATTCAGGCGGTGCGTACCCCTTGGGACTGGCGGGCTGGAAGTAAAAGCGTTGCGTGCCTCTGCTCTCGTGTCTTGGCCACAATCAGTAGAACTGTAGTCGCTCGGCCATTTGCCTTACCGTGATCAGTGAGCTTAGCACCTTTGGCCACGAAACAGCGGGAGCTTACCGTACGGAAGTTCTCAACGCTGGAGCTTTCTAGAAGGAATCAGACGTTTAATTGATAATGGACAACAGCACTAAGAGTGAAGACCCGCCAACCACGGAAGACTCAGCGCCTGTAAACGTGTCGACGCCGCAAGTTGCGAGTGTAGTTGCAGAACCTGCAGTTGGTTCCGACGCTGCGGCCGTTGAAGCTACCAAAGCCGGTTCTGATGCTGGGAATATAGCTGATGCTGAAGCGGCGACAGGGTCAGACGCTAAGGCCGTTTCTGAAGCTAAGACCGACGTCGAAAATAAACCCGCGTTTGAACCGAAGGCAGACGCTGAGGCTAAGGCTGACGCTGCAGATAAGGTTGACGTTGAAGCTGTAGCGGGTCCTGACTCTAAGGCTGGCACGGATAAGGCTAATATCGAAGCTGAAGCTAAGGTGGATGTTGGTAACAGTGGCGTCGCTACTATGACTGACGTTGCGACGACCGACGTTGCAGTGAAGCCCTATGGCGATGATAAGGCCGGCACGACGGACAGCGAACCTAAGGCTGACGTCGACGCTACAATTATTGACGATCCATGGGCTGTCGACGTTGAGCCAGCCGCTACAGCCGTTGAACCAGCCACCATGGAAATCGATGGTGGTGCATCGGTAGCCGGAGACGGTGCTTCGATACAAGGAAAGGGGGATGCGGCACCTGCTGCTGCGGCAGTGTACCTGGGCCGTCTCGTTAGAAAAGACTTCGGTGGTGTGCCGTACCTTGGGCGCGTGTTCCACTACGACCGCGAGGAGAAGTGGTACAAGGTGAGCGATACTCTTGTAGTGAGGTGCCTCAAAACGCGTATTCTACTACGATCGCGAGGAGAAGTGGTACAAGGTAAGGCGATCGTTCATACTTGCACAGGGGCATGCCCCCCCTCCCCTTTGCTGGAGCTGTGTACCTGAGCCGTCTTGTTAGGGAGGGCTATGCCGGTGCGCCTTACCTTGGACGCGTGTTCCACTACGACCGTGGGGAGAGGTGGTACAAGGGGAGAAGTGGTACAAGGTGAGACGTGGTACAAGGTGAGCGATACTCTTGTAGTGAGGCGCCGTACAACGCGTGTTCCACTACGACCGTGGGGAGAAGTGGTACGAGGTAAGCAATTACTCTTATAGTGATGCGCCTCAAGACGCGCACTGTATTACGTGCACTTTTTAACTGTTGCTGACGTGGTGCGGGGAGAAAAACTTCTTACGTTTCCGCTGTGCTTGCTCCACCGTTAAGACGAGTACTTTCCCCACTAATAGTCTTTCATCCTTTTTGTATGCCCTCCTGGTTCTCTATGCCTCTGTATACGCGGTTCTGACAGGTTCGATATGAAGATGGGGATGCTGAGGACCTGGAAGTTCCAGAGGTGAAGCAGTTGCTACTATCGGAGGAAGAGGAGAAGGCTGCTAACGCGGACATCGACACCTGGTAAGCTGTTAACGCGGACGTAGCCCTCGCTGGTCTGGTCTGGAACCAACAGGCCATGCAGGAGTCGATGAAAGGACGGAGGCTGTTTCAGAGGAGTTAACATTGGATTGCATTGCCCGTTCCTTCTGGGTTTGAGACCAGCAAAGCCATGCTGTTTGGTAAAAGAACGGAGGATGTTTCAAAGGAATCAGCTTTTAATACTTTTGTTTCATTTGCGCGTTTCTTCCAGGCCTGAAGCCAACAAAGCCGTGCTGTTTGGTGGATGTTTCAAAGGAATCAGCTTTTAATGCTTTTGTTTCATTTGCGCGTTCCTTCCAGGCCTGAAGCCAACAAAGCCGTGCTGTTTGGTGAAAGAACAGAGGCTGCGTCGGAGGAGTCAACACCAAGCAGGCGAGGCAGGGGCAGACCACGAAAAAATCGGGATAGCACTGACGCTGCTGCCCCTGCTGCTGCTGCTGCCCCTGCTGCTGCTGCTGCCCCCACTGCTGCCCCCACTGCTGCTGCTTCTTTCCCTTCACCTGTTGCAGCCGCTGCTCCTGCTCATACTGCAGCAGCTGCTGCTCCTGCTGCTGCTGCTGCTGCTGCTGCTGCTGCTGCTGATCCCGCGTCTGTTGCGGCCACTTCCCCCGCATCTGCAGCTGCTCCCGCTCCCCCTCCCGCAACTGCAGCTGCTGCCGCAACTCCTGCTCCCGCGCCTCCTGCTAATCTAGCTACTCCTTCTCCCCCTGCCCCTCCTCCTGCTGCTGCTGCCGCTGCTGCTGCTGCTGCTACTCCTGAGAAATCCCAAAGTGCAATCACGGCACTGGGAAAGCGCGTAAGATGGGCAGGGGAAGAAGCTATTCACTCAGATTCTTTAGCCAGTGGTGGAGAACAGGAGGGGGAGCCTTACAGCAAGAGGGGGAGGGGGGCCGGAGTAGGTGCTGCTGGGGTTTATGATGGTTCTGGCACCAGGGCTTATCATATGTCAGACTTTGCCGGAGCAGACGATGGGAATTACCAGGGGGTAGACGCGGGGTTGTATCAGGGTGCTTCTGCAGCAGCGGTAGGAGGAGCAGGAGGAGGGCAGCATTACAGTCCGGAAGGGGGGGTGGTGTATTGGGATGAGCAGATGGGAGTAGGGAGTGGGGGGAGGAGAGGGCGAGGGAGAGGAAGGGGGAGGGGGAGAGGACGGGGGAGGGGGAGAGGGAGAGGAAGAGGGAGGGGGAGAGGGCGGGGAAGGGGGCGAGGCAGAGGGAGGAGTGCTTATAGTGAAGCAGCTTGGGCGTATCCCGAGGGCTATTACCCCAACGGAAATTACCCCAGTTACCCAGGAGATGGTGCTGATTGGTCCAGTGCGGGCGATTGGGGGGGGTTTAACGGTATGGGAGGTGGGGAGGGGTGGATGATGGGGGCGCATGGGGTGGGGGGGAGGGGGAGTGAGGCAGTGGAAGTGGTGGTGGCAGGGCCTGGGGGGAAAGTGGTGGGGAAGAGGGTGCTAAAGGACTTTGAAGGGGTGCTGACTGAAGGAAAGATCACGGCGTTCGATGAAGAGACGAAGAAATACACGGTGAGTCTATCAGTGTTCAGAGGTTTTGTTGTCGCATTGTGCCCAAGAGATGGAGTGTGAAGGTGGTGGGAAAGAGGGTGCTGAAGGACTTTGAAGGGGTGCTGACTGAAGGCAAGATCAAGGCTTTGATGGAGAGACGAAGAAATGCACTGATATTGCTGTCATGTCGTGTGTTTTTAACTACAGTACGAGGGTGGTATGTGGTGGTGAAGAGAGTGCTCAAGGACTTAGAAGGGGTGCTGTCTGACGACAAGATTGCAGCTTTCCCCGTTCCCCCTTCACCTACTCGCAGGTGGAAAACGAGGGTACCGAGCACTAACTGCTGGACGTGCTTGTATGGAAGCTTTTGAGTCGACTCAAAAGAAAACGAGGGTACCGAGCACTAACTGCTGGACGTGCTTGTATGGAAGCGCGTGGAGAGCATTCTGGTGGTGGGGGAGGACAACTACATACCCGAGGAGGATGTGGAGGAAAGTTGTTGTTCCCCTTTCCCCTTCGTAAACTGGCAGGTGGAGTATGAGGGTACTGAACACTCGATGCTGGAGGTGCTCATATGGAAGGGAGTGGAGAGCATTCTGGTGGTGGGGGAGGACAACTACATACCCGAGGAGGAGGAGGCGGAGGAGGAAGAGGTACCAGAGGTCGAGGAGGTGCCGCTGGTGGCGACTCACCAGCCAGAGGGGGTGGAGGAGGTGGGGGGAAAGGAAACTGAGGAGGTGGTAATTGCAGCACCGCCAGTGCCAGAAGGGTTAGAAGCGCACAAAGTGAAAGAGGTGGGGCTGGTGTCGGCTCAAGGGGCAGAGGGACTAGTGGGGGCAGTGGGGAAAGAGATGCACACCAAGGGCGCAGAGGCGACTGTGATGCAAGTGGATGGTGCAGAAGAGAGAGTGACACAACGGGGGGGTGGGGATGTGGTGGTAGGGGAAGAGGTAACAGTTTCACATATGGACGTAACAACTTCCCAGGTGGGACTGACGGAATCTCAGTTGGAAGTAACCGCGTCTCAAATGGATGTAACAGCGTCACAGATCGACGCAGCTTTTGCGTCGACACAAGTGTCGTTTCAGTTTGAAGTAACAGAGTCTCAGATCGAGGTGACTCCGACCCAGGTTGAGGTCACTGCGTCGCAGATCGAGGTGGCGAATGCAGTGATGGAGGAGATGGTCATGGAGGACGCTGTGATAGTTGCGACTAAGGCAGAGGGGGGGGGGGGGGGGGGGGGGGGGGGGGGGGGGGGCAGGTGCTAGGGTGGGAGAGATGGTTCTGGAAGATGCTGTGGTTGTGGCGACTGGGGCAGAGGCAGGCGAGGCAGGTGGGGCATGGGGGGCAGGTGAGGGAGGCGAGGGAGGGGGGGGGGGGGGGGGGGGGGGGGGGGGGGGGGGGGGGGGGGGGGGGGGGGGGGGGGGGGGGGGGGGGAGGGGGAGGGGGAGGGGGGGGCAGAGGGGGGCAGAAGCAGCTGGTGGCCCTGTCCCTCCAGTAGAGGAAGCAGCAGCAGCAGCAGCAGCAGCAGCAGCAGCAGCAGCGGTCGCAGAGGCAGAGGCAGGGGCTGAAGCAGCGGGTGACCCGGTGCCTGCAGCAGAGGAAGCAGCAGCAGCGGTTGCAGTAGCAGCAGAACAGGCCGAGGCTGCAGCTGTAGCGGGGGAAGAGGCTGGAGTTACCAATGCTGAGGTTGAGGTTGAGACAGTTCCTGTAGAGGAGGGAGTGGTTGCAACTGTGACTGATGCTGAGGCAGAGACTGCAGCTGTAGCCGAGGCAGCCATTGCAGCAGAGGCTGTAGCAGCGGCTGTAGCAGAGGGAGAGACTGCAAGTGCAACAGACACCGAGGTTGAGACTGCGGCTGTAGCAGAGGCAGACATTTCAGCTGGGGATGCACCTGTAGCTTTTTCGGAGGCAGCTGTAGCTGGCGTTTACGCTACAGACGTGGCCACGGCAGAAGTGACAGGGGCAACAGAGGCAGCAACAGCAGCAGCAGTGGATAGTGCTGGAATGGAAGAGGCTGAAGCAGGGACTGCTTCAGTAGCCATAGAGCAGGGATAAGTGCAGCTTTTTTGTCTGAGCAAGGAGGATAATATGATGATGCAGGTCGTGCGGAGTCGGAATTCTATTGAGGCACGGGGTTGCTTGCATGTTCTGCAAGTTTGAATGACTTTTTTTTGTTTGTCAATCTAATTGACAGCTATTGGATAGGGCGTTGTTACAATCAGCACTCAGGTTTTGTAATGAATTACGATTCCTTACTGGGGCTCGCCACAGCGAGTACACGCGAACAGTGCGCGTCCGCAGGCTCGGCCCTTGGTTATCGCGCCTAACCAGCCCCCGTCGACCATTTCGGCCCCAACCTGATCCCGAGTCGTCCCGAACCCATTTTGACCCCGTCACCCTCGGGACTACCGAGCCCTTGACTGGTCCAGCCCTCGACATTCAACCTGGTCAACTCGCACTATATAAGCCCTAGGTCTCATTTGGATAGGACACAATGTAATCACGCCCCCCTTATAGTATTCTGCGCTATACTCTGAGCTATAATTCATAACAAGGTTCCGCTGTTGAAGTATGACATTATCGTGTCAGCCTTCAGATGCATCGTGACCGTACATCGTTTCCGCTAGCTGTAGCTGCAGTATGCATTCCCAAGGTCGCATCCCCACCATACCTGTGTCGCCTGGCCAATTGTGGTCCGCGCTTTTCCTCTCGTCTGTCGCACTCAGGTCGCCGCGTGCGACTAGCTCCGGGCAACCTGGAAACCATTGGTGGCTCTGTTGCTTTCCCTCCAAAACAACCTTCGCGTCGGGAGTCCCTAGGAAGGCCAACCATGCATACTGATCCATACCTTCAAGCGAGGAACCTAGGTTCCTAGGAACCAGAAAGCGTAACTTTCCAAATCCTTATGAACCTAGGTTCTTCACTGACTGACACGCCTTCACATCAAATTCCTCATACCTCACCAATTGGTAGATTCCGGGAATTCCGCTCGTGTCCTGCTTATTTGTAGCCATTTGTTTTTGTCAGGCTAGTTCCTCATTGCGAGGAGTAAGCATTTCTGTGTAGCTGGTCCCAATGTTGTTACTCTCTCATCCTCCGTCGGCTGTAATAAGTGAATGCCAGCTCAGCAAGTCGTCAGGATCCGTTATGCTCCGTCATCCGTCCGTTTCCGTTCAAATGCGACTTTCTCACATCGGTCCGAGCAGCATTCTGACTAAAACTGACAAAACCGATGCGAGAATCCCGGCGAGGCTGAACATTGGCTGCTCATTAGAGTCACCCATCCGCGAGAAACACCCGCATTCGGTCCCTGATTCTCGAGCAAGCATTCCAGACTGTAACGGACCGAGTCGCTCGTCCGTCACCGTCAGCGACCAGAATCCGTCAACGTCGAGAGTTTCCAACGCAAACGCAGAGCGTGTTTCTGAAGGCGACGGATCGCAGGCCATCGGATCAGGAAAAGAGGATTCCTCCTTAAAGCCAGAAATTTCCGCGACCGAACCTCTCAGGAGCACGAGCACCAGTATCAACAGGTCTTCTAGAAGCCTCCAAAGGCGGATACAGGCGAGATTGATCCGTCAGGCGAGAAAGAATCGATCCCGATTACCAGCAGCGGTTACATCGTCAGATGCGGATGGGTTGGTTGTCGACGGGTACAGCATTGGGAAGGAGGGGGTTGTGGAGCGGCTCTTCTGGCTGTGGGGGAGATGGCTCTACCAGAGCTGGTTCGCTCAGGTGAGTGTCCATAGGGATTGCCGATTAGAGTGTTACTAATTTGGTTGCCCGAGGGTGTTGTGGTGGAGGGTGTTGTGGATCGGCTCTTCTGGGGAAGCTGGTTCTCATTTGCATGTCTTTAGTGTTACTAGCACGACAAGTGTGATAATTGGTGTGAAAAACAGTCAAGCTGACAAGTGGGTCATTATCATGTGCCAATGTGCAGGAGACACGTGGCACGGAGAATCTGCCACTGGATCGTGGCATCTTTTTCATGGCTTGCAATCACTCGGTGGGTGCTGCTGGTGGGTGCTGGTGGGTGCTGGTGGGTGCTGGTGGGTGCTGGTGGGTGTTGCTGGTGCGTGCTGCTGGTGGGTGCTGCTGTTGGGTGCTGCTGGTGGGTGCTGCTGGTGGGTGCTGCTGGTGGGTGCTGCTGCTGGGTGCTGCTGGTGGGTGCTGCTGGTGGGTGCTGCTGGTGGGTGCTGCTGGTGGGTGCTGCTGGTGGGTGCTGCTGGTGGGTGCTGCTGGTGCGTGCTGCTGGTGCGTGCTGCTGGTGGGTGCTGCTGGTGGGTGCTGCTGCTGTGTGCTGCTGCTGGGTGCTGCTGGTGGGTGCTGCTGCTGGGTGCTGCTGCTGGGTGCTGCTGGTGCGTGCTGCTGGTGCGTGCTGCTGGTGCGTGCTGTTGGTGGGTGCTGCTGGTGGGTGCTGCTGCTGGGTGCTGCTGCTGGGTGCTGCTGCTGGGTGCTGCTGCTGGGTGCTGCTGCTGGGTGCTGCTGAAATTTCTGAAATAGAAACCCAACGAAGAATAATACCTATATGTTAAATGCACGTGGTGGGTGCCACGATGCTTGAGTTGATTATCTAGGATACACCAGCTAGAAACAGAATCGCTGCACTTTTTTCGACTCAGACATTCCTCCCAACCGTGGCCCAATATGCTGCTGACCAGAGCCACTTGGATTGTGGAGCCACGTCTGTAGGAGCATGGACTGGCGGCGCCAAGAGGGTGTATGCCCCGAGTTATTGGTGCCTGCCTGTGATGCATTTTGCCATTCGTGTCGCTCCTCGGTCTCGCGATCCCTCTCCCATCTCTGCTGCTGACCAGAGCCACTTGGATTGTGGAGCCACGTTTGTTGGAGCATGGACAGGCGGCGCCAAGAGAGTGTATGCCCTGGGAGCTCGGGACTACTTCTTCTCCAACCCTCTTCTGGTACGGTTGACACTCATGGTATGGTCACAGGTGGAGCTATGGTCTCTTAAGTTTTTTGCGCTTGAGATGGCCAAGGAAACAGCTCCCTCTCCGTTCCTTGTCACACCCGCCCATCCACAGGCGTGGTTCGTCACCACGTGCATGCACGTGATCCCTACAAACGAGATGACTTCTGAGTCAACTCAAGAGTCATTCTCTTCACTCCGTTCCTTTTCACACTCGCCCCTCCACAGGCGTGGTTCGTCACCACGTGCATGCACGTCATCCCTATCAACCGCTGCAAGTTCTCCCAGCAAGAGGTATGCCGCACATGCCCTCGCCCCTCACTTATCATCCATCGCTATCTGGTCGTGTTCTGCTACCCACACACACGCCTGCTGTACTCCTGCCGAGTTGCTCCCTCCCACCGCCCTCCCAACCGCCACCAGTAGCCCCCCTCGCCCCACAGCAGTGCCACTCTTTTGCTGAAGGCACCCAGTGTCTAAGCAACCCTCTGCTGCATCCCCATTGCCCCTCTCATGTACCCTCTTGCGAGTCAATGCCATGAGCGCCCCCCATGGCCCCACAGCAGTGCTCACTTCCCTCTCTTTGCTCTCATTGTCCTCTTTTCCCTCCCAAAAGCCCCCCGCCCCCCCACACAGCTAGACACACAACAGCAAGTGAAGGCCTCTGCTGCCCTGCTTGCCCCACAGCAGTGCTCATCTTCCCACAGCAGGGACTCAGTCTGTCCCCGACTTCCTGCAGCCCTTCGCACCGCCCTCCTTGTCTCTTTCAATTCAACTGTCTTCCTCCCTCATCCTGTTGCCAGCTCGACACCCTACTGCAAGTGAAGGCCACCAGTGGCCCCCATCGGCCCACAGCAGTGCTCATCTTCCCTGAAGGGACTCGGTCCGTCACGGGTTCTCTTCAGCCGTTCAAGTCGGGAGTAGGGCTCCTGGCAGAGCAGCTCGACATTCCTGTGGTGCCCGTGTGTGTCAAGGTGAGAGAGTGTGCGCTTTGATGATTGTGCTAACATCGCAAGGCCAGGCCAGGGGACTCGGTCTGTCACTGGCTCTCTTCTCTTCAGCCCGTCAAGTCGAGAGTTGGGCTCCTGGCAGAGCATCTCGACATTCCCGTGGTGCCTGTGTGTGTCAAGGTAAGTACAACGAGTTCTGAGGTGTGTTCAAACGCGTACACAATCCTGACTGTGTCAATATGAAGCCACTCGCTCGCTCGCGGGTTATATTCAAGTCGGGAGTAGGGCTACTGGCAGAGCAGCTCGACATTCCCGTGGTGCCTGTGTGCGTCAAGGTGAGAGCACCTGGTCCTTGTCCGTGGGAGGGTGAGAGCACCTGCTTTCCACCTAATCGCCAGTGCGCATTTGAAGCCAGTGTGTGTGTGTGTGTGTGTGTGTGTGTGTGTTGCCTTTCTCTTCTTTGAGAAAGGGCACATTTGAGGCCTTTCCAAAGGGGCGCGCCATCCCACTTCGCCAAAAGGTGACTGCGGAACTTGGGAGGCACCTTGACATTCAGCCTCTCTCTTCCTCTTTCCGGCTGCTTCTGCTCTCTCCCTAATCCGCAGGGCACATTCGAGGCCCTCCCAAAGGGGCGCACCATCCCACTTCGCCGAAAGATCACTGTGGAGTTTGGGAGGCACCTGGACATTCAGGAGTATATTCAGGAGGCACAAACCGCTGCTTCTGGTGCTTCTGCTGCTTCTGGTGTTTCTGGTGCTTCTGGTGCAGAGGCCGCAGCTTCTAGTGCAACTGCCATATCTCCAGAGTGTCAGGTATTGTCTTGGGGTCTTTTGAGTCGACTCAAAAGTCATCTCCAGAGTGTTCAGTATTGTCTTGGGGTCTTTTGAGTCGACTCAAAAGTCATCTCCAGAGTGTCAGGTATTGTCTTGGGGTCTCCTGGACATCCAGGAGACTGTCAGGAGGTGCAAGCCGCTGCTCCCGTCCCATCCCATCCCATCACATCCCATCCCATCCCATCCCATCCCATCCCATCCCATCCCATTCCATCCCATCCCATCCCATCTCATCCCATCCCATCCCATCCCATCCCATCCCATCCCATCCCATCCCATCCCATCCCATCCCATCCCATCCCATCCCATCCCATCCCATCCCATCCCATCCCATCCCATCCCATCCCATCCCATCCCTTCACATCCCATCCCATCCCATCCCATCCCATCCCATCCCATCCCATCCCATCCCATCCCATCCCTTCACATCCCATCCCATCCCATCCCATCCCATCCCATCCCATCCCATCCCATCCCATCCCATCCCATCCCGTCCCCTCACGTTCCCTCCCATCCATGGGGTTGCTGGCTCGGCCATGGGGTTGCTGGCTCGGCCATGGGGATGGGAGCTCGGCCATGGGTATGCTGGCTCGGCCATGGGGTTGCTGGCTCGGCCATGGGGTTGCTGGCTCGGCCATGGGGTCAGCAGCTCAGCCACGAGTCAGCAGCTCGGCCATGGGGTCAGCCGCCGGGCAACGTGGGTGCTGGCCCATCCCATCCCCATCCCATCCCCATCCGATCCCATATCATCCCATCCCATCCTATCCCTCCACTTCTCTTCTCGTGCCCCACAGCAAGCCATGAGGAGATTCGCTCACCTTTCCCATGCGTCCTTGTCCCCTATCAGGAGGAGACACAGCGAGCCATGAGGCGAGCCACACACAGGCGATTCGCCGAGGACCTTCGAGGCAGCGTGGCAAATATGATGGGGCGGGATAAGGGCACTGTAGCAGACATGGTGGGACGGGACAAGGGCACTGTAGCAGACATGGTGGGACGGGACAAGGGCAGTGCAGAGGACAGAACAGCGCAGGAAACCGCTTCACGGTCTGAAATCAAAGGAAGACTAGGTGGCAGCCTGCAGGGAACAATCGAAGCCGATGCTCAGGGCCAGTCTACAACAGGAGGGGCGAGTCATTGGCCTCCTCTTATCGCAGGCATGGTTGCTGCTGCCTCTCTACCCGCTGTCTTTGGCGGGGTTTCCCCTGAGGGCCTCTCTCGGGCGAGCTATGCTGCGGCTGCGTCGTTATTGGACTATGTGCCGCAACCAGGGGACGAGGCAGTGGCTGCTGTTGCTGCTGCTCTCTGCTGTGCCTTGCTGGTCACTGGGCTGGGGCCTGCTGCCCGCTGGGCGCAACCTTATCTGTGCTTCCCCTCAGATGATAACAAGTGATGGAAGTTTTCGGGCAGTTTTCTCTCGAGCAGGCTCAAGCTATGCTGCAAATGCCTCGTTGGAGTCTGGGACCCAGGCGGGGGATGAGGCAGTCGTTGCTGCTGCTGTTCTCTGCTGTGCCCTGCTGGTCACTGGGGTGAAGCCTGTTGTCAGCTGGGCGCAGCCTTATCTGTTCTTTCCCAAGGATGATGACCAATGATGGAACGCAAGTGATCTCTCAAGCGAGCTGTGCTGCAGCTGCATCATTATTGGACCAAATGCCACAGCCAGGGGACGGGGCAGTGACTTCTGCCACTGCTGCTGCTCAGGCCTCAGGATATCAGGGTAAAATACCCTTACGGCCTTTATAATAAGGCTGGGATGGGTGTTGGACCCTTCTTTTTAGAAGTGGTTTAGTTTTTTACCCTTATGAAAAAACTAGATCTATATGGGACCCTGTTTTTTCAGATTTGTCGAGTGTAGGGACCCTGATGCGGAAAAGTCCACCCTCACACAATCACACATGCGGTCCCCCGTTGTAATAATTTCTCCCCTTGAGAACCTACAAATTTCAGCTAAGTCCCCCCAATCCGAGAGTCCCCACGCAACCCAAGATTTCGGCTAAGTCCCCCACTCCCAAAGACATTCCTCCCTCAGCCCTCGAGCAACCCTGGAAAATTATTGTAGTCCCCCACTGGCAGAGACAGAGCTCCTGTAGTACCCCTCGCAACCCAGAGGATTCGGCGAAATCCCCCTCTAACAGAGACAGTCCTCCCGTACCCCTCGCAACCCAGAGGATTCGGCCAAGTCCCTCAGGGCCAAGTGGGCACTGGCAGGGGAGTGGGCTGTGGCGACAAGAACTGAAGACCAAAAATCTGGAGGATTTGCTGCACCATGTGGGACTTGGAGAGGGTGACTGTGCGCACTGCATGGTTGCGAGAGATTCCAAGCCCAGATAGCGCCGCAACTCTCCCACCTTTGTGGAGGCATGTCTCCTGAGTAGCTCGGCCTTCACTGAGGCTAGTGCGGCCCTGTCTGGAGTAGCAAAGATGAGTTTGTCTACGTACACAAGAATGTAGAAAAGAGTCTGACTAGCACAGACGAAGAGTGAGGGGTCAATAGAAGATGGGAAGAAGTGGAGAACCGCGAGTGTAGTGCGGAGCGTATCGTGCCACTTACGAGGTGCCTACCGCAGACCATAGACATGACGGCACAGGCTCCACTGGGTCGAAGAAGCGAAGGACCTGGTGAATCCTGATGGGCGCCGCAAGTAGATAAGCTCATGTAGGCTGCCCTGTAAGAAGGCTGCCTTGTTCTAGATATTCTTTCACTTGAACACGGAGCTCTTAGTCACACTTTGCAACTATGTGGAGGAGAACCCGAAGAGTAGTTATCTTCGAGGTGGGGGAGAAGGTCTGGAAGAAGTCCACACCCTCTCGCTGGCTGAAGCCTCTGGCCACATACCGTGCCTTGAACAGCAGCGGCTTTCCAGGTGGGCGCTTCAGCTTATAGATTCACATGTTATCGTCTATTTTTGCCCCAGTGAGTGGAACTGCATCTACGTAAGTGCTAGTGGATCTACCTGCCATCTCTACCTCCTTGGCCTGTATCCACTGAGCTGACCAGGGCCCCGAGACCGCCTCAGCGTACGAGCGTGTGGTAGGGATGTCTAGGGCGTCTGGGTCACCCTCAGGGGACACTAGCATGGCGTAAAAATCAGGTACAGCATCTGCAAGGAAATCTAGCTTGTACAACCTAGCAAGTCACAGCCAAGGGCAGGTGCAATCTCGACGGACGGAGGATGGGCAGGGTTAGAAACCAGAGTAGAGACGTAGTCAAGGTGGCGGCACGCAGCAAAGTCTGCGACAGTAGCGACAAGGGAAGAGACACCAACAGGAGGAGACGTAGGGTTTGTAACAAGAGAGACAAGCAAGCGGGAGACCACTAGACGAACAGTGCAAGCAGGGTCAGAGGAAGGAGCAGAGGACTGGGGTAGGGATGACTCGGGAGGAAACAGTAGGAAAGGGAATGGAGGAGCACGAGAACGAAGGGCCATAGGGTGAACACGAGCACGAGGCGGATTAGGACGACCACCAGGGGGATGACGCACCCACGGATGGGCAATAGGGGACGGGACAGGGGACGGAGGACAAAGAGGGGGGAAACGAGTCGGAGACGAGAATGCAGTGAGCTGGGCCTCAGCGCTAGCGGCGCGGTAGCTAGTCTCAAGGGTGCGGAGGTGAGTGGCAAGGTCAGCGACAGTGGGGAAGGACGCAAGATAAGGGAACAGCATGGGGAGTATCTAGCGGTCAACAGAGGCTGTGGTGGGCGTGGAATAGCGTGCAGCGACTGCATCTAAGAATTCTTTGGCATTCGCTGCAGTGGTAAAGCGGGGATGCTTAGACAGGGGGAGGGCGTGACTAATACCAAGCTGCGCCATGGCGTCGCGCGACTCCCAGACTGCACGAGCAAGCACAGCAGCGGAGAAGGCCTCACGCTCAATAGGAGTGGGGGCATCCAAGAGGGCAGCAGGCACGACGGGACGGGGAAGCAGACCATCGACATGATCAGCCAGAGAGTACCTGTCTTGGCGCTGACCTATCAGGTTACGGCGAAGGTCGACGAGTCAGGCCTCAAAGTCGATTGCCTGACCCTCCACGTCCAGACGGAGCACAGCGTCCGCCATCCCACGGCCTCAGTGGCTGACGGCGACACGGCGGCACAGTGGTACAGTGGCACGGCGATCCGGCGACACGGCGGCACAGTGGCATGGCGCCACGGCGGCTCGGCAGCACGACAGGACCGGGGTCAGCGCGAGGGAGACCGGCAAGGAAGGGCACGGGTGGTAGTGGGCCACGCACTGGTTTAGGCACCAGGCAGCAAGCCCGCACTCCAGCTCGCCGCGCCTCCCCAGCTCGTCGTGTCGGACCCTGCTCGCCGCGTCGGACCCAGCTCGTTGCGTCGGACCTAGCTCGCCGCGTCGGTCCCAGCGGACCCAGCTCGCTGCGTCGGTCCCAGCTCGCCACGCCAGCTGGCTCCGCCCCGCCGCAGCTCAAGGATGCCTAGCGCCTTCCTTCCCTGCAGTCACCTCTGCTGTAGGGCATGGGGGTGCTAGGCTTAGAGGTGTTGCATGTGGGGTGGGCTTGTGACTACCAAGCCTAGGGGGTGTATTAAATTATATATTTTATATATACAATTGTAGGCTTGGTATGTGTTATTGGATCCTACTATAGAGGGAGTGCTAAATTATATATTATATATATAAATTGTAGGCTTGGTATGCATTATTGGATCCTACTATAGAGAGGACAACCCCCTTCTTGTATCCCTCTCTCTTCTAGTCCACGCACTCTTCTCTCTCAACATTTTTCCTCTCTCACCTAAAACCTCTCGCCATTCAATGGCTCCTCCTCCTAGCTAGCTCCTTTGATATGGTTTCAGAGCCGGAGGTCCGCCCTACTGGGCCGCTTCGTCACGCTTCCGCCGCGACCCCCCCTCCCCTTCTCGTTACTTCCGCGCCGCCATGGCGGCCGTGTCGTGCTGCCATGGCGGCTTTGTCGTGCTGCCGTGGCAGCCTCCACGTGGCAGCTACGTCGTGCTGCCATGCCGCCGTCATCGCGTCAGCGCACGGGCGGTAGTGGGCCACGCACTGGTTTAGGCACCAGGCAGCAAGCTCGCACTCCAGCTCACCGCGCCTCCCCAGCTCGTCGTGTCCGACCCTGCTCGTCGCGTCGGACCCTGCTCGCCGCGTCGGACCCAGCTCGCCACGTTGGTCCCAGCGGACCCAGCTCGCCGCGTCGGTCCCAGCTCGCAGCGTCGGTCCCAGCTCGCCACGCCAACTGGCTCCGCCCCACCGCAACTCAAGGATGCCTAGCGCCTTCCTTCCTTGAGTCACCTCTGCTGCAAGTTATGGGGGTGCTAGGCTTAGAGGTGTTGCATTTGGGGTGGGCCTATGACTCCCAAGCCTAGGGGTGTGTTAAAATATATTATATGTATATATATAATTGTAGGCTTGGTATGTGTTACTGGATCCTACTGTAGAGGGGACAACCCCCTTCTGGTATCCCTCTCTCTTCTAGTCCACGCGCTCTTCTCTCTCGACATTTTTCCTCTCCCACCTAAAACCTCTCGCCATTCAATGACTCCTCCTCCTAGCTAGCTCCTTTTACATGGACAACCCCCCTTCTTGTATCACCCTCTCTTCTAGTCCATCCCTCTTCTCTCTCGACATTTTTCCTCTCCCACCTAAAACCTCTCGCCATTCAATGGTTCCTCCTCCTAGCTAGCTCCTTTGACATAGGTGTATCAGCCATGCAAACTGATTCTGCGGGGAAAACGCAGCAGTTAGGGTTTCCATCATCTGCCTCCGGAGCCTCTCTCCTGCCTTTTCCTCAAATTCTAGCCTCAATCTTGAGGCGGTTGACAGTTGAGCTGGTGCTGAAAAGTAACCGAGAATCTAGTTCAGCCAATCAGGGTGCTTCCGAGGCGAGACGTGGAGGGACTGTGAAGTCAGAAGGCGCTGTGAGGTTCGGATTCAATTCAAGCTGCCTCGATATTTGAGGACTTTCAGTCACGTTTGAGATCACATCTTCAGTTGCAACAGCAGGAGCTGGAAAAGGGCCAACGTCTACTATTGCAGCAGCAACAACAGCAAAAGGGAGAGCAACAATGGACAGCTTATCGGTAGATCACGCCAAAGAGCATGAGAGAGAAGCAGAGGAAAGAGAAAATAAGGTAAGTCCTCCTTTCAAGCAAACAGTTGTAGATCGTTTATTGATTGGTACATCTATCTATGCTTCCATCTCATTTTCCCTGTCCCCTCCTGCACTCCCTTCGTTTTCTTGCAGTGAAGCCATGAACCGGCTCAGGCTAACCACAGGGGGCCATGGCGATGTCGCATCTATGCTCAACCATGCAGTGGATTTAATAACGAATCTTCAAGAATCCAACAAAAGGCTCAGGCTGGAGATTCTTCCGAGGAAAGTCATGTGTCAGTGTGGCTGTCAGGGAATGAAAGGAAGGGACCGGCCAGCAATCAGCAATTAGCCTTGCCATGTCAACCTATACATGTGATGCATGTAGAAGTTATAGGCTAGCCTAGGTGTGTGCTTCTAATGAGTACAACCCCACCAGGTATATGTTCTAGGTTTCTCACACTAGTTCATTATTCTTGCATTCTAACATGGTATCACGCTTAGGTTAGGTCCACCCGCCCGCTTCCGCCCGTGCCCTAGCCTACCCCCCCCCTCCCCCTACCTAGACCACGCGCCCGCCTGGCCCCGTAGCGCCCGCCCGGCCCTTCATCGCCGCGCCCGGCCCCGTCGTGCCACCCAGGCCCCTAGCGCCCGCTCGGCCCCGTCGCGCCACCCAGGCCCCTAGTGCTCGCCCGCCCCTTACGCGCCCGCCTGGCCCCGTCGCGCCCGTCGTGCCCGCCTGGCCCCTCCGCACCTCCCTGGCCCCTAGCGCTCGCCCGGCCCGTAGAACCCGCCTGGCCCCGTCGCACCCGCCTGGCCCT